AAATAGGGTGATTCTCCGTGGACTAAAACGAAGGTTGGGCGAGGCCAAAAAGAGGTGGGTCGAGGAGCTACATAGTGTGCTTTGGGTATACATAACAACTCGTCACTCCACTATCGAGAAAACTCCCTTCCGACTAGCATACAGAACCGAGGCAGTAATCCCAGTGGAAATCAGAGAACCCTCGAGACGGACTGAATCCCCCTCGACAAGGAACTAAACAACAAAGCATTAAGAGAAGAACTCGATCTGATTGAAGAAATCTGATCAGGGCAACTCTTCACGAAGCTTCGCTGAAACAAAAAATAACCCTGCGCCATGACGCCAAGGTCATAAAGCGCGACTTCCAAGTGGGCAGCCTTGTCCTACGCCGAAACCAAAAAGAATCGCGCGAGGGAAAATTAGTAAGGCCAATACTGGGTGAGATCAAAAACAGGTACCGGGACTTATTACCTCGAACACCTAGACGGAGAACCATTTGCTCGATCCTGGAACGCTGAAAAACTCAAACAATAATACAGCTAACGCAAGTAGAACCAACCGTCGACGACTATACTCCCAAAGGAGGGTCGTCCGGCCTAATGAGTATGCCCTGGTGCAAGCACAATCCTCAAAGATTAACAGAGGCAAGTCTCTTCTCATGAAAAGAGCGAATTTTTGTGCCCGACGGGGACAACTCAGTCGAGCTTCGCCGTCGTCGTACCAGTGTGGCAGGACACCCATCTTGCGATGGGAAAGTACAAGCCATGTGCGATCAGGACCTCAAACGAGATCTTAGTCCCGCATCCGGCGAGATTACTCCGCCACCTCGACAAGTTCCATAAACTATTGAGTAACACGACTAGTCGAGCAAAGTCTAAAAACAATCTGCAAGGAAAAATAAACAAGACATACAATGTCGAGGCATACAATGCCAAATAAACATCCATATATATGCCCGACCACATGGCCGGAAAAATGTTTAGATATTACATAAATGTCGGGAAAAGCCCGACAATCAAAATTACAAAAACTGGCACGCAGGCCAAAATACAATAAGTTACAAATAACAATCAGTCATCATCAACAGGAGTCTCTGACGGGACCACCTTACCGTCGACCACCTGGTGCAGAATTCCCATTCTCTCGGTAACCAGCTGAACGTCGGGATTCAATACCTTCACCTGCTCCACAACAACAGAAAATCCAAATTCAGCAACTCCAAGGGCATCCTGCTCGAGAATACGTATTCTGTCGATCATGTCCCGTTAAGTCTTCAAGGACTTATCCTCCTCAATTTTGTCTGGCCCCACAACCGAGGAGCCCTCTAGCTCAGTAACCCTGACCTTCAACTTGGCGTTCTCCTCCCTGATCTTCTTCATTTCTTCGAACATCTCATTCATGTCCTTGAGGAGCATAACCTTGGCCTCGTAGTTGCCTTTGAGGGTCTGCAACTGGTTGAACAAATATGCCATCTCCAACTCAAGTTCAGCCTCCATGGCCTGTGCTTTTATGAACTCCTTCAGCAGAACGGTCTCCACGTCTCCAAGGGCCAGAGCCGTCTACAAAATTCTCATCATCGTAACAACATCGTGACAAATGAGCGACCTCCTAACCTTTGGATCAGTGGTCAAGATGGTCGACGCCTCTAGATCGGGAACCTGCACAGACCCATCCCCGTCAAAAATCTTGTCTTGTAGAAAGCAGGGGGCAGGGTGAATTTTCCCTTAACAAAACCTGGGGTCGAAGACGATCTAAGGTCGTCTCGCTTCCTCTTCTTTTGAGGATCCGGGGTAGGAGGGTTAGAGGTGCTACCCGGTGATAACGAAGGACCGAAGAACTTCTCCAGGGTCGCCTGCTACCTGACTGCATCCATCCTCGAGGTCAAAACCTTTTTTACGTTTTTAGCTGCAGAGGACTTGACCAAGCGTTCACGTAAACTCGACATCTTTCCTACAAAGAAAAAACAAAGAGGCTGGCACGACATTAAAACACTAAGAAATAAAGTAAGCGCATCATCTATAACTAGAAGTTCGAAAGCCTCAGCCTCAGTCTGGAAATCAAGAAGGGCTTTAGTATTTATATAACAACCCGTCCGAGTAGGCTCCCCATCTTCAGAGCAGAGTATGTTGGCGTCCTTATCCACAACGACAGCAGGGGTAAAGCTCTCAACAAACACTGTCAACGCTCGAAGAGACTTCTTGTCCTCGGAGTAAAGCTGGTCATGCTTCACAAGGAACTAATATGTCTTATACCGAAAATGAGCGTACACCCATTCCAAGGGAAACTTTGACACGAGACACACCACTTCTCGACCATCTTCCTTTAGCGTCTCCATCGTGACCAAAGAGCTCTTGGCGACTTCGAAAAGGGGCTTTACGACCGGAAACCTAAATTTGAAATTTCGGACAGACTCCGAATATGGCCGGAACAGCCTGCTCTGCTGCTTGAAAGAAACCTAACTTTGCTTCGATTCCGAAACGCTATTCTGCAGCTGGGAGATGCAAAAGAAGAGCTCCACGGTAGCCCCTATCTGAAGGTAACGACACTCCAATTTGAATGCTCGAATGAACGCCAGAGCGTTCAGGTGAAGCTGAGCAGGTCACAGTTCGAGGTGGCAAAATATTTCCCCTTATAAATCCGTAAAGGGAAAACGATATCCCGCTTCCCTAAAGGCAAACTCATACATGAGAAATCTCCTCCCCGAATATACCGAGCATATCTGATCGTTCTCCGTCAGACTAATCGCCCTTCAATTCATAGGCACATCTTAAGCTCTATCTTCGAGGAGATCGAAGTTATTGGCCTCCTCCTCAGTAAATGTGGACTTCGTTACAAGGGGGTCCTGGGTGATCCAACTAAGATCCCCTTCAACCAACCACACATTAACATACTCAGCGGGAGGCACGTCTTCGTTAATATTTACCCCAAATTCGGGGGCGGTTCCCTCATCTTGACCAGGCATTTCACTTGAAAAACAGAGGAAGCAATAGTGAATTCGACAAAGATCAAATCCACCCTTCCACCACAAATCAAGTGAAAGGGCAAGGATTAAGTGCAAGGATATTTCCCCGACTCAGGCCCTTATCAACGACAAGAGGTTTCAGTGAGACGCGTCACCTATGCCAAGGATACGTCCCCGCTATTTATAAAGACCCTAAATGGGAGGAGCTTGCGACTACCCTAACCTATCGGGCATCCAAAAGCAAAGCCATCAGCTGCGAGAACACCCCTGCCCGACGACAAATATAAAACAATCCTACGTAACCACCTAGGAATATCTACAAGCATACAACACCCTAATCTTAAGTTCTACAAAACCTTCATGAATTTCTCAGAAAAGTTCATGTGTTCTTCAAGAGACACATGAACTTCAACCGGAAAATTCATGAACCACCAGTAAATTCAAGAACAAATTGCAGAAATTCATAGAAATCGAAGAACATACTTGAGTATTCGAAGGTTGAAAATGAAGACCTTGGGATGACAAGGGAAACAGTGACGACAACGAGATCTTCAGCGACGAAAGTGTTGCAGAGCGAAAGATAAGGAGAAGAGAAATCTTTGTGGTGTGAAATGAAATTTCGCCCCCTTTATATAGTCTCCCTTGCTCGCATGGGGAAGCGCAAAGGGCAAAAGGCCATCATTTCCTAACCTCCTAGCCTCCTAGGCCTTAAACAAAATGTATTGCGCCGTCACACGTGGCTGCCACTTGACATCCTTAAACTGACATCTCACGTGTTTGTAAAAGACAAGTCTCTTCAGCTTCCTGTGGGCACATTCTCCTCGACTACGTCACTAGATCAATGTCCGAGCAAGAGCCTCATTGACTTTTTCTACATCCTAAGAACAAGCTTGGTCGACACAAAACGCACTTCTCATCTCCGAGGAAGTCCCGCGCGACCCACAATCGACCATGTCAAGGTTAGACACTTACGCGTCCCCGAACTTTTTCGCTTAATTAATAGCAATCTCAAAGATCTCCCCGCGATACGGTTCCTGCCCCTTGGTCGCACAAACTATACTAACTCAAGTTATTGTTTCTCTCCTCGAATCAACGACTTGGGGGGCTTCTGTTCTGAACTGGACTGACACCTGACCCACAACTGGACAAGGCCCAATCTAGTCTAACTTAAGGGCAGACCCAATACGGCCATAGAGCACAATATAGTCGATGGACACAATATAGTCGTTGAAACACATAGCCGTTGGGGATTTGCCCCTCACGCGCTTGACAATTCACGCAACCAACTGCCCCTCCAAAAATCACAGACAGTTGGACCAGGTCAAAGATCATGCGCTAGATCTTCCACCTGACAGTCCCCCATTGGCCGACCAGATATTTCAGTTACATGAGAAACCTTGACCCCACGCTGGGGAAAAACTTTATAAATACCCTATCTCTTGAGAGTGTCAAATATTCTAATCATTCTTATTCATACCTATACACTCTTACTTGCTTTCTCTCTAGTCAAAACACTTACTTTGACATTGGAGTACCTTGCAAGTACAACCCCCTTCTCTCCTACAACCATTGTTGTTGCCCTACATTAAAGGTTAAGACGATTCATTCTAATCACTCCAGATTAGTAAAAAATCAAAGACCCAAATACAAAATAAGGAACGAAAAAAATATTTAATAGAATCTTACGATCCATACTACGATTTTTGAGTTAAGATTTTTTAATCCCCACCGATTTTACTTAACATCGCGAGTTTTTAAACACAGTAATAGTGTCTTACCAATTTGATGAGTAATAGAGTACAACAGAATTTCTCTTTTTCCTACCAAAAATCTTCCACGTCATTGAGCAGCGAGCCACAACTTGCCCACATATATCCATAAGTTACAACGATTGATTAAACTAGTTCTTCGCAAGGAACTGGATTTATTCAAATTAATCTTTATATTACAGATAGAATATAAAAAATAAATAAAAAATCTGCTCTGCAAAACTATATACAGGTCAATATAAAATGATCTAGTAGTGTGTAGACAAAGGAAACAACCACTTGTTAAATGGTCAATACTTATCAAAATCATATAACTCTATGTTTTTGTACTTCTGGGATATAATCTCAGCTCGAACTTTTCTTGCCGTGTCTGTTGCACAACCAACAAGAATAAGAATAGATGTTCCAGCAAATCCCCGGAATGCAGTCAAGTGTGCAGCCTGCTCAACAACTGCAGGTCCAGCAGCCAAGATTGCCAAAAATGTTGAACCCAGAACTGATATTCGACTAAGAACCTGCACAGTATATTATATTTTATATTAAGCAGTGTAAAATGAATGGATCCAATAGTTCTCTAACTAGCATGATTGGTTTCAGGGTAAAACAAACCATGTCAGTGATCAGCATAAACTTCCAAGTTCAATATACAATAAAATCAGTAAGAAAATCATGGAGTGCGAGGCTAGAGATAAGAAAATTACTGTTTTAATAAATGTAGCTGTACTTTTGCCTGGCCTGACAAGTGGAATTGAAGCACCTTGGCGTTTCAATTGTTCGCTCACATCATCAGGATCCAGTTGTAGGAAAGTATAATAGTAGTTGAAGAAGGCTATCAACAGTATGTTAAATGGAAGATAGAAGGAGCCTACAAAAAATATCCATTTAAGTAAAGGGAATCAACTTTTGAAGAAATCAAAATTTTAAGGGCTACAAAAAATGTATGGTTCCATTTCCATAGTGTATTGCAACCAGGGTTGTAAAATATTGGCAATGGCGGGTATCGGTGGCAGTTTTTTTGGCTCTCCGCCGTGGCCTAATTGTGAAGATTGGCAGTGCCACAGAGCCACACGCAGATATGGCGACACCATGTGCCGGGAGTTTTGGCTCTCTGCCATGGTCAGCCATCGATAACCCTGATTGTGACAGAAAGCCCTATATTTCTTCAATCATTTCTTAGCAGTTTACTTTCTAAGATCACAGTTTCATAGAGCATCAAGTGCAAAAGGATTAACACCAAATGTCATGACCAGACATATTTTGTTATTAAAAATCCAGAGATAAATCAACCACATACCTCCCGGATTCAAAGCAACTGCAGCAGTTTTTAGTGATTTTAAACCAGTGAAGCGTGCTAAAGTACCAGGAAGAGCTAATGATGATGTAGAAAAGATGATAGGCATTACCCCAGAACTATTTACCTGCCAAATTAGAAGATCTACATTCTCAAATTTCAAACTTTACTAAACTCTATTTTATGGATAACAAATTCACATCAAATAGTATTAAGTATTGTACAAAAAGGTAGATAAAAGAGGAGATGACCTTAAACGGAAGGTAAGCAGATTTTTCAAGTCCACCACTTCTGCTGGTGAATCTAGAAGCATAATTAATAGGAATTTTTCTCTCTGCTTCCTGAAAGCCATTATTGAAAGCAACATTTCTCAGCTTTATAAAATACTTGTTCATTACCAATATTATTCAATGATTGAAATAAGATTTACCTGAACATAGACAATACCAAGTACCAACAGAAAGAAAGAGACAACGATGGTAACAAGTCCAACATAGTTAGCATCACTAAACGCCTGTGAAAATGTGCGACCAAAAGAAGCTGGCAAGTACGATATAATGTTTGTGAATATCAAAAGAGAGGTACCATTCCCAAGTTTGAGCTCGGTAATTTGTTCCCCAATGTATGTCGTAAAGACAGCGCCAAGTGTGAGTAAGACAACAGAAGTAAGCGCCCACTCAGTAGTAAAATCATTCACATAGGGCCGCAGAAAAAGAACTTGGCCAATAGCCTGTACAATAGCAAATCCAACGGAAGCATATCGAGTATACTGAAGAAGCTTCTTTCTTCCCGCCTCACCTTCTTTCTTCTGAAGATCTTGCAATTTGGGATACACTTGAGCAAGAAGCTGAAAAACAATCTGCGCATTGATGAACGGAACAATGCCAAGAGAGCATATTCCAAGTCTACCAATACCTCCACCAGAAAACGAATCCAAAGTAGATAACAAAGAGTTCTGATCCAAATTTCCGAGAAAAGCGTCTCTATTAACTCCACCCAGAGGTATATACACACCGAGCCTCGACAATGCAAGAAACCCTAAAAGCTTGAGAAACTTCCCAGGCAGTGGACCATTAAAGAAATCACCAAAATCAATTGAACTATCCTCAATTGCAGCTGTGAAATTGGAAATACATGAATGAGTTGCTAATTTTAGGAAAGAAAACAAATAATCGGAATAAAACAAACCTGCTACGCCTCGAGGTTTATCTTTTTCCGAAGAGGTTTGGAAGATAGTGAGGAGATTTCTCCAAGTAGAAGATGAAGATGAATCTGGATTAATGCCTAGAGGATCGAAATTCGCTAGGTCAGAGCTGCATGGAATTTGAAACATATTAGAGAAATTGCATTGTTGTTTGGTTTAAACTGGATAGAAAAAAATGAGTTACCTGGTATAGAGATTGGAGGAGGAGGATGAACGGAGACGGAGGGAGAGATTGGGTTGATGGGAAGATGAACGGAGGAGACGGGGAGAGGGGTAGGGTTTTGTTGGAATGAGACGGTTGTTAAGCGACGGAAAGCGGAGAGAAGAGGAGGCTTCTGTTACAGTTATCAACATTATTATCCAGAAACTAACTTCGATTGCCAACACTACGCTATTCTCTCAACTCTCAACATTTTTTAGATTATTATTATTATGCACCAAAATATCCTTTTCCAGGTGGATATTATATAAAGCTGATAGATAGTATCAAAATGATAAAATTATTATTTTTAGATTTTATACTAATTCATATTTAAAACAATACTCAAATTGAACAATTATCTCTTAAACTCAATTAAGACATTAATTTATTAGTCGTGCACACCTTTGAATTATTTCCTATATTTCTTATGAATTAATTCTTTTTATCACAAATAATTTAAGTGCTATCATCGGTTACAAATGTATAATCGGTTAAAACAAAATTTGAGATACATTTCAGAAGTAGAAAAGTTAAGCTATCGCAAGTATAACTGGTTACCACTGAAACTGATTTAATTTTTAATTTAACTCAGGCTCAGGGATAATCGGTTAAGCAGTTTGGTGTAATTGATTAAGGACACGATTTTTTATATTTTTGTTATTGTACTTGGTCAATTTAGGTCTTAATTGAATTTTAACTCATATATAAGTGTTTAGGATGTTAACTCATCTTGGTTAATGAAAATATAACATTTCAGCCCCCCCCCCCCCCCCCCCTCTCTCTTCTTTTACTTTCCATTTCTAAAAAATTTCCACCATTGTTTCACCAATATTGTGGTTTCTTGTTTTAACATTTGTCATCGAGGGCCTAATTCAAATTCACAAATACCTAGTGTACAACATGAATTATGTCTCCAATGAAAGAATCCCTGCAAATTTATTCATCTTTGATGCGAAGAACTATGAGAAATGGTGCAAGCAAATAAAAGTGTTGTTTGGCTACCAAGATGTTCTTAAGACGATCAAGAATGATGTTACTCCTCTCTAAGCTAATGCAACAGAGGCGCAACAAGTATCGCATAAGGAAGAAAAGAAGAAATATTTCAAAGCGTTGTTCTTGATCCATCAAATGTGTTGATGGAGAAAATTTTGAAAAAGTTGGTGATTGCGAATTATCGAAGCAAGTGCAGAAGATCTTTGAGAAAACTTATGTAGGGGATGACACGACGAAGATAGTGAGGTTACAAACTCACAAATGTCAACTCGAATTGATTCAAATGGAAAAGAAAGAGACAGTCAACGACTTCACAACGAGAATCACTCGGTTGGTGAATCAAGTGAAAGCATGCGGAGAAACTGTTACAAAGCAGTATGTTATTGCTAAAAGCTTGCGTTCTTTAACACCAAGATTTGTCAACATAGTTGTGGTGATTGAAGAGTTGAAAAATATTATAAGGATGAATAAATAGGAGCTGCAAAGCTATCTCGAGGCTCATGAGCAAAGGAGGAAAGAGAGAAATAACGATAAGGCAAAGGCAGAGATCACTTTGCAAGCTCGATTCAATGAGAAAGACAAGAAATCGAAAGGAAAATGACCTATGAAGAACAAAAGGAACTTTTCAAAATTTTGATGGAAAAAAGTCCCAAAATTCAAATAATTTGACTTATCAAAGGGGTGAGAGCAGCTACAAAAAAAAATGATGGTCAAGGTAACTATAGAGGTGAACGAAATAAGAAGAGTTTGATGAGTAGAATACACTCTCGGTCATGATCACAAAAGAAAATTATAGCAGTAAACAGCTGCAAGACAGCTGCTGCAACAACTCAAAGAATGCTGAAAAATTAAGTGATGTGATTGACTGATTGCATGAATAGGAAGACGCCATGATAAGTGTGAAAGAAGTTCAATGCAGTGAGGAGTGGTATTTGGATTCAATTTTTTCAAATCATATGACGGGAAAAAATTATTGGTTTGTCAAAATCAATCGTGCCATGAAGAACAAAGTAAAGTTTGCAGATGACACCACTCTAATGACCAATGGGATCGGTGATGTTTTGATCACGAGGAAGGATGATTTACATTCCTTAATAAAAGATGTCTTGTATATTCTGGGAATCAAATGTAACCTTCTAAGTATTGGTCAAATACTTAAGAAGGGTTACAAAATTCACATGGAAAACAAAGGGTTGCGCACAATGGATGCAAATAGAGTTTTGATACTTAAAGCGCCTATGGATGCCAATAGAATAATTAAGGTTAAGTTGAAGGTTATGAAGCATATATGTCTTGATATTGCAGAAAGTCATGAAAAGTAGATGCGACACCACCGTCTTGGGCATCTCATTTTTAGAGATCTCAAAGACTTGTAAAATAACAGAATGGTAACGAGACTGCCATCGATAAATATATTAGCTAAATTTTTTGAAGAATGTGTGCAAGAAAATCAACATAAGGGAAAATTCAACAATGTTGCTGACCGGGAACTAAGAATCACCTCGAGGTGGTGTATTCAGATGTGTGTGGACCGATGCAAGTATATTCTATTGGTGGCAATAAGTACTTTGTCACATTTATTGATGATCATAGTTGAAAGCTATGGACATATCTAGTCAAGAGAAAGGATGAGGTATTTGAAGTGTTAAAGAATTTTAAGTCCATAGTGGGGTGACAAAGTGGTCATAAGTTCAAAGTGCTCAAAACGGATGGTGTATGCGAATATGTCTCAAATGACTTTGGGAGGTTTGGTGATCAACAAGGGATTATACATGTGGTAGTACCACCCTATACACCACAACAAAATGGTGTATCCGAAAGAAATAATCTATTAATTATGAACATGGTGAAAATCATGTTAAATGGGAAAAACTTTTCGAAAGAGCTATGGGGAGAAGTGGTATCTACAACTGCCTATTTGTTGAATATGTGCTTTACAAAGAAGCTGAAAAATGTAACATCGGAGGAAGCGTGGTCGGGATTCAAGCCAAATCTAAACCATTTGAGAGTCTTTGATTCCATTGTATACCACATGTTCCGGGTCAACTTAGAAAGAAGTTGGATGACAAGGAGAAGTGACGATACTTGTTAGATATCACTCTACCAGTGGTTACAAGTTGTTTGATGCTGTAAATAGCAAGTTCGTGATCAGTCAAGATGCCATAATCGATGAATTGAAGCAGGTGCATCAGGGTGTAACCGGTTACTAGCAGACTATAACTGGTTACATGCAAGCTGTAACCGATTACCAGAATCTTATAACTGGTTACAGGTTCAAAATTTTTAATTTTGAGGAAAATGGAAGACCAGAACAACATGACGTCAAAGCTCGAAATGAAGAAAATGTCAAAAGGTTAAAAAGGTAAAGGGGTTTGCCTCAGAGACTCCAAGATTGTGATTTGTTCCGAGATAACAAAGTCAACGATGATGGTAATTTCGTCCATTTTTCACTTACGGCCGAACCCGAACCAGTTAATATGGAAGAGGCCTTAAGTGATCCAAAGTAGATTTGTGCTATGAAGGAGGAGTTGAAATCTATTGAGAAGAACTGTACTTGGGAGTTTGTTGATCTACCAAAAGGAAAGAAGCTGATTAGTGTGAAGTGGGTGTTTAAAGTGAAGGCAAATCTCAAGGGTGAGGTAATCAAGCATAAGGCTCGATTGGTGGCTAAGAGATTTTTGCGAAAATAAAGCATAGACTTTGAAGATCTATTTGCACCGGTTGCTAGGTTTAAAACCATTAGACTTGTTGTTTGTATTGCAAATAACCATAATTGGACCGTCTACTAAATGGATGTCAAATCTGCGTTTTTAAACAAATTGCTTGAAGAGGAGGTATATGTAGGACAACCCCTAGTTTTCTAGTAAAAGACCAAGATCTAAAGTTCTACAAGTTGAAGAAAACGCTACATGGTTTGAAGCAAGATCCAAGAGTTTGGAATAAAAGAATTGATGATTTCCTATAGGATGTTTGATTTATGAAATGTGTATCCGGGCATGGAGTCTATGTGAAGACGGATATCTGAATGACCATTTGCCACTATTTGTAATTATTAAAATTATATGTTTTACATCTGTTTTTTTTTTTGAAAACAAGTGTAAAATTATTTTGTTTTTAATATCTATTTTACACATGTTTTTTATAAACAGGTGTAAAATCATAACTTCTTTTTAATATCTATGATTTTATATTGGTTTTTAAAAAAATCGGTATAAATTCATATTCTTTTAGGCCTATTTTTTAAAATTAAAACAGAACACCAATATTGATTGAGCCGACCCTATTGAATTAGGTCTTCGTATTGAGTCGATCTTATTTATTTTGGTCCCTATATCTTTTTTTCTGTGGCTATCGGCGCACACGTGAAAATGATTTATATTTTTCTGTAGTTAATACGTGGCTTATACAATTATTTTGCATTGGTCCATGTGGCAATGAAAATTTTAACAAAATAAAATTTTGCAACTAGTGAGATTCAAACCCACACCCTTTGGTTAAAATGACTACACCTTTACCACTTAGCCATGAGCTCCCTTTGTTTAACTCTTGCACCAAAATTTTAATATATGCAAATCGATGTTCATTCATTTGTTTAACACTTGCAGTCCTTGTTTACACTAATTGATGTTTATGAAATAGTAGCATGATAATAATAACGACATGCTCCAGCTCCAACTCTTCTTAAATCAACTTGACCTTGCATTCCAGCTCTCCCATATTGTTGCCATAAGTGTATATACATGTATGAGTGTATTTGTTTTGGAAAATGTTTCACCACCATGCATACATAAAAATCACATTGGTACTTTGAGGAACTAAGAATCCAAATCTTATTTTAAAAACAAACATGAATATGATGCTTTAATGGAAGATGATGGTGTAGATTGTGAGAGAAAAAGTAAATAATAAAGTTACATAATCAAACTATAAAAAATGATTATAGTTTGAAATGGTGGAAAACTAAATAAACATACATGAATACCTCATAAACAAACACATGTGTTCTCATTGATATGAATTTTTTTTTGGATTTGTATGAAGGTTGGACATAAAGATATGAATTCAAATTCAGAATTAGGGACTAAAATAAATAAAAAAGGTTACATGGACTAAAATAAAAAACGAGCCAAAATTTATATGGACGAAAAGAATATTTAAT